ATTCTCTAAGTAGCACTCAAACAAATGAGGCTGGATGAGAGTGTCTTTACAGAAGTGTTTCATGGTGCCACAAAAATATGCCAGACTCGTGGATCGGTATTCCTGATGTGAGATATAGGAAGGTGTGTAGACACGCCGACATGAACCATGCCAGTCAGTTTTTTTACGAAACGAAGGAGAAAGGGCTTCGTATCAGCATCTTTTACCCAATGATTAATGCTCTTGTTGAAAGAATTGGAGCAAGGTCCATGCAAGAAAGCGTCGTTCTCATCTGTGCGATCATGAACATTTTGCGCCTAACTGCCAGTGACAAGGAGATTGAAGTTACAAGTAAATATTTTGACGTAGAGTGTGACAGCTGGCTAAGCACCGCTCACTCAAAGCAAAGGTTACCACTGAGCACACAATGCTTGGCAACTGTTACGAATGGCTAAAGTGGTTGCAAGGAAACGGTCAGAGAACATTAGTTTACAGGGAATTTTTAAAGCACTTAAAGTTGTCCTTTAAAGTTTTTAGTTGTCCCTGTAACTAGCTGCTAATGCGAGCGGACCTTTTTGAAGCTCGACATAGTGAAAACGAAGTTGCAGTCTACAATGAGCCATGACCGGCTTCAGAGGTTTCTTTACCGTTTGCTGAACAAGAGATTGCATTGACAACTCGTTCCTAGTTGGTCATTAGGCAGTTTGCGACAAAGTCGCGTAAATTTTTTCTTTAGACTTTTCACGGCTGGCAGAAAGCTGTAAGTTTCCCGCGTGCAATATACTTTTATAATCTAATCAGAACACATTATTTTCGCCAGATAAGATATTCATTACCTTGTATATTGCTTATTGAACATGAGAAAAGGCAAATTTTGTCCAAACACACAAAGAGGAGAAAAACTAGAGTTAAGCCTGAATATAACAAAATTGGTAAATTCCTGGAAAAAATTTGTTATAAAGAAGATTTCGTTATATGGAGGTGCGGTAGAAAACTTCAGAAAATAAATGCACAAATCAAACAAAAAGGGGACTGAAGGCAGAGCAAACCCAAAACACTTATTTAGCGGTAAAACACTGCGTTACTATAGTGATAGCGAATGTATGAACATTCTCAGACGGTTCTTGCTCTCGCCGCCATGTTCCGTAACAAGTCTAAATTGAAAACATGCCCCCGCGCATCGTAACTTTCTCGAGTGGGTAAAATAGCGCGAGCGCTGCTGAAGCTCAGATCAAATTATCCGATGAATCTCTAGCGCCTGGAAGGAGCATAAGATAACATCACCGGGTGTTAAAACTGGCGTAGAATGCTCGAACAGAAAAGAAACCACCCGTGCTGACCAAGCATGAAAAAATGCAGGGAAGGGGGGGGGGGGGGGAGGGTCACTCAAGTAGCAACAATAAACTTTAATTTTAAGGGCAGTCGCAATCGTTGGCGTGCATGCTATCTCGGCAAGTATCAACTGTGCGCTTTGAACGCAAAGGAACTGTGTGTATAAAGAGCCCTTCTCCCTGGGGGGGCCGTATTTTTTGCTTACACTAGCGTTTTGTAGGAGTTCCGCGATATCGTATCCGAAAGAGCTGGCTGACAGTCGTACTTCGTATAACATTTCAATTTTTTGCTATCACGTTCATTGCATTGCATTAAAAGCACCGTCGTGTTGTGACCAGAATTAATTGGCTAATAGCCAAAGCTACGAGCCTGCAAACTTGCGGCCCGGGGCAAGACAAAAGCGCGTGACAAGTCGACCTCCGAAGATCCATCATCACCGTATTCTCGTAGAGTTTCTATCAGCGCCGAATCTGACTTTCCCTCGGTGGTGACGACACGGTTAGTCGCATTTAAAAAAATGCACAGCTGAACATCTGGGGCCACATTATGCGCACGCAGTGAAACCATGCATGCGTGCACCGCATCGAAAACGACTTGAACATGAACACAGGCACGGATACCGCAGAAAACTATTCGATAAAGAGCCCTCCATATGCAGCGTGGCCCCACATATGTGACGCTAACTGAAAGCGTGGCACTGCCAACACAAAAATATCGTTTTTTATTTTTGAATTGGAAGGGGGGGCGGGGGCGCATTCGTGCGCGCATGCTTCTGCAGTGGCAAGAACAACGGCAACGCTGCAGTGGCAATAACGGCAACGGAAACGCTGGGTGGCGCGCAGGCCCACCTGCCCGCCACCAGCCTGCCTGCCTCACGCTTACCCGCTTGCAATCAAGCACTCGCGGTCGCGTAGTACGCCCTCCGTTCTGGCGGCGGCGGCGCACCCGCGAGAAATGCATGCTCTTACCAAAATGCCGAAATGCAGGGCTAAATTTCTAGATTTTTCGTGAGAAAAATTCGTTATGTCAAGGTTGTCTCCCGCTGTTACTTTGTTAGACAGAAGTCGCAAATATATGTGCTTCTTTGGAGGTTCATTATAAGCAGGTTTAACTGTATTTATAGCCCTCGTTTTTATTATGCGCTCTTCACCAAGTGCCAGAAAGTAAGTTTCAAGTGTGGATTGAGATGCTCAGAAGAAAGCTGGGATATCGTAGCGTTTGTTTCAATTAAGCACTTAATACTGTAACTTGCTTTTCAGTGCATTTTTTAGTTTGCGGTATATTCTCGTGCTTTTAGGCGTTGCCTTTACATTGTATTCTGGATTGCTTTCTTCGTTCTCTCTGTGGATAGTGGGGAGACAATATGAAAACTTTCACCGCATGAAGGTGTATCCATGTGTTTGCCCTGTTCGTGGACTTTATTGCTTGTAATAATCAGGTCAAGCCGAGGCAATATTTTTCTTTTTTTTTCTGCTGTCAAAGAAGGCAGATGTGCGATTTCTTTTTGTGGTTTACAATGAATAGATACCCTTTATAAGCATGTCGTAATATTTATGCCTGAGCTGCAGAGGAACTCCCTTTCTTTGCCAATGGTGTACAGGAAAGCAGAACTGCTAAATAATAAACTGTATATATTACAACTCAATTTTATTGAAATAAACGTTTTATAACCATATCTCGTCTCCACACTGCATTATGGGCACCAGGACATCAGTAGACCTGCCTCGGCAGAAAGAAGGGGGAGGGGGCTGTAGTGTAACCTCGCCCCCATCCCTGGTGAAAAATTCTGCGCATGCCTATGATTGTTATGTAGCTTGTATACATTGGTGTAACTCTCACAGCAAAGTTAAAATGGCACACGCATGCCAAAACAATCTGCAACAAGCTCTTCAGAAACTTTGGCATATCTGACGCACGTTAGGAAACTCGACAGAAGAATACTGACAGCGCATAAGACTTTGGTCAGGCTCAAATATGCATAAGTTATTTGGTCACCTCACCACAAACATGAGACAACTGTCAGGCTCGAATATGCATAGGTTATTTGGTCACCTCACCACAAACATGAGACAACAGTTAGAATATGTTTTTTTTTTTTTTAGACAGCAATACTGCTTATATTTTATCGCTATGATCAGCGTTTCTCGCATACTTTGCATGCGCATGTTTTATAGCTGCAGCTCCTCTCAAACATCGGCGCACTTGCAATCGTGTCATCCTTTTGCATTAATAAGATAGTTCACACTGCAGTTCAAGTGTTCTAGCACCCATATTTTTCATTGCATCTTCAGCACACCATACCTGGTGATTTGATCATTTAAATATTATGCCCGTTAAATCAAATCAGGATTGTTTTTGTTTCCTTTTGTTTGTTTTTTTTATGCAGAACCTGCCTATTTGGAATGAGATTGATGGGTATCTATGCAGACGCGGTGCTGAGTAACTGGAAAAAAGAATTTCTTAAACATATATTTTGTTAAAGTGTATAGTTAAGGGGCTCAACCTTTGTATTTTCACCTGCCAGGTCTGAAAAACTGAGAAAGCAATATTTCTACATAAATACCATTGAGACAAGCTGCTGTCACTTAAACTGCTTCACCCTCTCGAACAAAATATTTGTTTTTGTTTTGTTTTTTTATTCAAGGGACAAGTTTTTATCCCCACCACCTTTTGAGCCTAGATTCTACCCCCCTCTCGCGCCACGCCGCCAATCTGATGTACCCCGTGCCGTTGACACGCCACTACCGAAGGTGGAAAAGCCAGTGCGCCGCCGCCGCGATTTTAGTACCGGCGCACAGGTCTACTTAGAAGACCAACGTGGAAAGTGCCACATCAGACATGTGGTGGACTTGAAATAGACAAGCACGAAAGTTTCAGTTAGATATGTTTGTATTAAAGCCGGTGATCACCGAAAAATTTTTGGGGAGATTTATTAAGGTTCCTTTTATATACGTATAACCTCCTGCCAGTGGTGTAAATTCATATAATCTGGATAGCTGAACGTGAGCTTCGAATTGCTAATTTTATTTAGGCTCAGGATTATCGAACACTATAACTGCATTTAAGGTGAAATGTAAAGGTAATGTAATGACACATTCCAATTTTCAAAATCTCACTTTAACTCGTTACAGTAACGGGAACTCATTCTAAAATTGGGAAGGAACATGAAACGAGCTATTGTTCGGAACGCGTACAACACTGACTTAAGCTGTTGGTTGCAACTGTCACTAACCCAACTGAAGTCCCTTTCCTTTTACTTGTGTACCGACGTCACCTGGCCCTCTCTCCCCTTCAGCTGGCATCTGCCAACATCTTTTTCTTAACTTGAAAAATTTACAAAGCCATGTACATATAGGTGCATTAGCCATGCATCTTTCAGCAGACAACTTGCAAATGCGATGCATTTTTTTTTTTTTTCATCAATCTCCCACCATTTGTGAGCGAGGAACACGTTTCACCAGGTGCTGGAAAAGCCCTAGGGAGAACATGACTACGAAAAATAAGTGTTAGCCAATGAGATTCGTAGGTGGCACTTCAATGGTTGTCGGTACCTAAGAAAGAAGATGGAAACATTTAGAGACTTGATTTCCAGCCAACCATCTCTCATCACTAAAGGCTCTATCCTTGAATGGACACTTTCAGCTGTGGAACATATTTACTGCTGTACAAAGAAATGACCAGGGGCCCACCTGAGATCATCGACGTTTATAATGGCTTCTGTCTCCAGGAGGGACCCAAGCAGGTTGCTCTGCTCGCGGGCAGCAGACAGCTTCGACTGCTGTGCCAGCTCTGCTGACATGGCCGCTCTGTTCGAGATGAAGCACACATTCAAACAACACATTAGAGCCGTGATGCACATGCCTCGGTTAAAAATGGCAAACAAGTAAAACTTGGGCAGTCATTTCCAATCAAACATCGTACATACAGAGACTATACTTCACGTTTGTGACATATTGCCACGTTCTATTTCTCAAGTTTTGTTATCGCCCCAAAACACTACACAATTCTCAGCGCAAACCGCGCCTGCAGTTTTTGAGAAGCTTCCGGACTTTAGTAGATCATTTCGATAAGATCACGCCCACTCTGCGAACTGTACAGATTATTCTGGAACCTACGCCATCGCCAACGATAACGCTAGAACATTCGATGGCAAGAGTATAAATGCCAACGCACTTCGCCGCTTGTGAGTAGTTGATCGACGACCGACGCTCCGTTCGCCGCTATCAGTGGAAGACAGCTACTGTAATCGGATTTTCTGTTTACCGGGCACAGGTTTGCCCAAATAAACAGTTAAATTCCAACACAAAGTCCCCTGTCTTTGGCCACGTCCCGACCCCGTGACATTTGGTGGAGGTGCGGGGTAACGATCCCCGCACCTCTCGCAGATGTACCTCCCGCAGAGAGGATACACGTCCTTTCTTGTGATTTTGTTCAGGCGGCGATAATCGACGCAGAAACGTAGGGTCCCATCCTTTTTCCTCACTAACGCCACGGGGGACGCCCATGGACTCTTGGACGGCTGGATTATGTCATCCCGCAGCATCTCATCAACTTATCTCTTCATGGCCTCACGTTCTCGCGTCGAAACCCTGAGACTTCAAGAATATGACATTACCGTCGTTTACAAGTCTGGCAAGAAACACTCCGACGCCGACTGTCTCTCTCGTGCGCCTGTCGACCAACCACTACCTGACGACCCGGATGACGACTACTTCTTGGGAACAATAACTACCGACGACTTCGCTGAACGACAGCGGGCCGACCCGGAACTTAAGGCCCTAATTGAATACCTCGAAGGCAGGACACCGTAAGCGCGCACTTGCGTCGTTCTTCCTGCGAAACGGTTTTCTCCAAAAGAAGGACTTTTCACCGCTTCGAGCCAAGTACCTTCTTGTGGTGCCTTCAGCTCTGCGACCAGAACTCCTGCAGGCCCTGCACGACGATTCAACAGCAGGGCACCTCGATGTTTCTCGCACGCTCGTGAGGATATAAGAAAGGTACTATTGGCCACGTCTTACCACTGACGTCACTCGTCATGTGAGGACATGCCGGGACTGTCAGCGACGCAAGACACCACCGACAAGGCCAGCGGGGCTTTTGCAGCCAATTGAACCACCTCAGTGATTGGTATGGACCTACTGGGGCCGTTCCCGACGTCAGCTTTCGGAAACAAATGGATCGTGGTAGCTACCGACTACCTCACCCGCTACATCGAGACAAAAGCCCTGCCAAACGGCAGTGCATCCGAGGTAGCTAAGTTTTTCGTCGAAAATATCGTCCTACGTCACGGCGCCCCGGAGGTCCTTATCATTGACAGAGGAACGGCATTTACTGCCGACTTAACTCAAGCGATCTTGGCATACAGCCACACAAACCACCGCCGGACGACAGCGTACCACCCACAGACCAGCGGCCTCACCGAGCGGCTAAACCAGACGATCGCCGACATGCTGGCAATGTACGTCGATGTCGAACACAAGACGTGGGACGCCAGTCTTCCGTACGTGACCTTCGCATACAACACGGCGGTGCAGGAGACGATGCAGATATCTCCATACAAATTGGTCTACGGAAGGAGCCCGGCAACGACGCTCGATGCCATGTTACCCAACGTCACCGACAAAGAAAACCTCGATGTGAGTGAGTACCTTCAACGCGCCGAATAAGCCCGACAACTCGCGCGTCTCCGTATCAAGAATCAACAGACGACTGACAGCCGCCGTTACAATCTTCGGCGATGCTTCGTGGAATACCAGCCCGGTGAACGTGTTTGGGTGTGGACGCCGATACGCCGACGTGTACTAAGTGAAAAGCTTCTGCGACGGTACTTCGGACCGTACAGGGTGGTTCGACGTCTTGGCCCACTTGATTACGAGGATGTTCCCGACGGCATCACGAACTCTCAACGACGCCGATCGCGACCTGAAGTCGTCCATGTCGCGCGCCTCAAGCAGTTTCATGCGCGTTAACAAACTGAAACAGTGTTTTTTTGCATTATTACTGTATCGTAATTTATTCATTGTACTTTCTTGCATTATTGTTTTACCTTCATCTTAGTTAAAGCATCGGGACGATGCCTTTTTCAAAGGGGGGCGATGCGACGTTTTATTTCTCAGGTTTTGTTATCGCCCCAAAACACTACACAATTCTCAGCGCAAACCGCGCCTGCAGTTTTCGAGAAGCTTCCGGACTTTAGTAGATCATTTCGATAAGATCACGCCCACTCTGCAAACTGTACAGATTATTGTGGAACCTACGCCACCGCCAACGATAACGCTAGAACATTCGATGGCAAGAATATAAATGCCGACGCACTTCGCCGCTTGTGAGTAGTTGATCAACGGCCGACGCTCCGTTCGCCGCTATCAGTGGAAGACTGCTACTGTAATCGGATTTTCCCTTTACCGGGCACAGATTCGCCCAAATAAACAGTTAAATTCCAACACAAAGTCTCCTGTCTTCGGACACGTCACGACCCTGTGACAATATCAATGTGCCTCAGGCTAGTAGATTTATAATGGTCTTAAAATCCACAAACGCAGATGCATGTAATACCTTATGCATATAGAAAGGAATACTGAACGAAAATTGAAAAAACTGACAAAGCTTCGAAATTCGACTTGAAAGATACCATTGAACATGAATGGAGTTAATTCATTGTTCCAATGGAGATACCATTGTTCCAATGGAACAATGGTACCATTGTTCCAATGGTACAATGGTATTGGATTGGATAAACTTTTATTTGGTCCTCCAAAACACAGATCACTGTGTTGCGGGCAGCTCCCACGTGGGGACTGAGATGCCAAGCTCCTCAGCCGCCTCGCGGGCTTGGTGGACAGCCCAGAGCTGATCTGCCAAGGATGAGCTGCGGATTGCCGCCTCCCATCTGGCAGAGGTGATGTGCGATAAATGAGCGAATTTGGTGCACTGCCAGAGCATGTGTTCTAATGAACGACGTATGTAACTGCGCGGTAGTAAACACGGACGACAAGAAGATACAAGGACTGCGCTTGTCCTTGTATCTTCTTGTCGTCCGTGTTTACTACCGCGCAGTTACATACGTCGATCATGAATCACCAACTCGCCCAATCGTCCACCTTGATTAGTTCTAATGAAGCTATTTTCCCACAATGTGGACAAAGATTACTTGGGTATAGGTCAGGGTACATGATGTGTAACATTTTCAAAGTAGGGTACATGCGCGTTTGCAAAAGCCTTAATGTAAGTGCTTGGGGCCGGGTTAGATTTTTGTGAGGTGGAGGGAAAATCCTTCTAGACAGGTAGAAATGTTTAGTGAGCTCGTTATATGTTGTAAGAATTTCCCGGTTATCCCCTTCACCGGTAGAACGCATCCCCGGGGAGGCACGGTTGGAGAGTTCTCGCGCCGCCTCGTGTGCTGCTTCGTTGAGATTGGGAGGGGAATCGTTGATTTGTCCAAGGTGAGTTGGGATCCAACTCAGAAGATGATGTGTTATGTTCTTGCCTTGCAGTATTTTCAGCGTTTGTTCACAGACCGTCCCCTTGGCGAACGCCCGTAGTGCTGCCATGGAATCACTGTAGACCACTTCAATGTTATCCATTTTGAGTGCTAAGGCGATGGCCACTTGTTCCGCAATGATTGGGTCTTTCGTCCTGACCGTCGCTGAGTTGACGACATGGCCAGCCCCATCGACTACCACTGCCACAAACGCTTTCCCATTGGCGTAGGAAGCCGCGTCAACAAATACGACCCCTCGTTCCTCGTTTGAGACTTGACGAAGTATAGTCCTGGCCCTCGCTACTCTTCTTCCGACGTTGTGTTCTGGGTGCATGTTTCTCGGTATAGGAGATACCGTGATAGTCTCCCTGATGTTGTCAGGGATATCATTGTAATCGCGTCTGATTGCTATTGGGTTTTGGCCCAGCTCCTGCAGGATCATTCTCCCCGACCTTGTAGTAGATAACCTTGCAAACTGTGCTCTCTCTTGGGCTTCTGCTATTTCTTCGAGCGTGTTGTGTATGCCAAGCTCAAGCAGACGCTCACTGCTGGTATGTATGGGTAGGCCCAGGACCTTCTTGATAACTTTCCTGAGGAGCACATTCAGTGTCTCGGACTCTGCTCTTGACCAGTTGTGCATTGCTGCCTCGTAAGTGAAGTGACTTAGAACAAACGCATGCATCAACCTGATGAGGTTGTCTTCCTTGATCCCATTTCTTTTGTTGGCCACTCTGCGTATGAGGTGCACCGCACTGTCTGTTTTCCGAGTTAACTTGGCTATAGATTTGCTGTTGGCGCCGGTAGACTCTATCAGCATTCCCAGGACTTTGATGGAGTCGACCCTCTGGATGGCATCCCCTTGATTTGTACGGAGATGGATGTCTATCTGGTTTAACGGCTTCCATCCCCTGGGCTTTGGTCCCTGGCGTGCAGTCCGATAAAGCAAAAGTTCTGACTTACTCGAGGAGCACTTGAGCCCGGAAGGGCGAAGGTAGTCTTCTACGGTGTCAATCGCCTCTTGCAGAGCGCTCTCAATCTGCCCCTCGCTTCCACCTGTGCACCAGATGGTAATGTCATCTGCGTAGATGCTGTGCTTCGATCCTTCAATGCTCGATAATTTCTTTGACAGTCCAATCATGGCAATGTTGAACAGCATTGGTGAAATCACTGCCCCTTGTGGCGTGCCCCTTGCTTCTAGTTCGATTTCTGCGGTCTCGATATCTGCAATCTTCATCACGGCTTTCTGACCTTTAAGAAAGGACCATACGTGGTCATAGAAGGCTTTCCCTAGACCAAGCCTGGAAATTGCTTCGAGTATGAATGAGT